CGGTGATGTGGCCATCTACGTTGATGAGAATTTTGTATTTAAGCCCCTCCACTACATTATGCCTCCAGATCGACTCCCATCACGCTCGTGAAAGAGGGGGCAAAGGGGGTACCCGGAGGACAACAAAAGAAGGTACTTGGAGCCGATATTTTTTTTAGATTATAAGAAATCAACGGCTCTCCTATATCCCAAGCACCTTAGAAAATCTCTTTTTTTAGATGGGTATTTCTTTTACCGGCTCTATATCCAACCGGATATATGCAGCCTTATTAAACTAGGAACTAGCAAATAGGGAATTTAGCCCATAAATAACCCAATCTAAAATTTGCTTCTATGGAGATTTGAACACAGGACCTTAGAGTGCTACTCAAATCACTGCAACCTGTGAGCTACTTGGAGCTGAGATGGGCGATACAACGTGTGGTATCACCCTCGTGCTATCAGGTCATCCATCCTTGCTCCGAGGACATCATATCACCGACGAGATCCACCGCTGTAAACGCGGTTTCTTTGTCTCCTCTTGAACAAGCACACTAGCGGACTGAGCTGATCTTGGTCATGCTATAGCAGAGGGCGCCGCTGAATGCGATTTTATTCCATTGTGGATGGCCAAATTAGCATTGAGCTGTCAATTGCATTTTGGACCTTACGTGATACATTAAATCAAGATTAGTCCCATATATGTACACTACTACAGAAACACTAATATAAGTCGGAACTATAGGTACTGAAAGTGGTAAAAACCAGCCCCTACAGTGCCATTCCCGCCCACCAGCCCGCCCACACGCCAAAACGAGCAAGAACTGGCACCTTTGTCACCTAAAAGGTACCAGCACCTTTTACTCCTGTCAGATATAGAGGCCGGTTGTAAAAAAAAAACTGGCATCTTTTAGAACCCATCCCATCGGACTAGTTGGCACGGGGCCCACCCTAGAACCTGCATCTCTACCAAGCCGAGCCGATCGAGCGCCGGCCTTACAATACAACGCGCGCATCAGATCCGTCCTTATCCTCTCCGTCTCTCTCTCTCGTTCTTTCCGTCTCTCTCTCGCCTCTCTATCTCGCTCGTTCTCTCTCACCGGTCTAGGCGGCGGCCGGCAGAGTGGCGGTGGCAGTGGCCCGGTGGAGGCGGCAGCAGCGGTGATAGCGCCCTCCCGTCTGCCTGATGTAGCCAGAGGGGAGGCGGCGGACCTCGGCGGCTGCCGGGCAACGGCCCGGCGGAGGCGGCAGAGGCGTGGGAAGGCCACCGGCACCGTCCCTCCTCCTCTTCGTCCCACCACCTTCCTATCGATGCTCGGGCAACCAGATCCGGCATGCCCCATCGCCACCGGCGCTCAGGGACGGCCAAATCCGGCATCGCCCCTCCCCACTGGCGCTTGGGGGAGGCCAGATCCGGGGGTGGTGGTCGAGGAGGCTGGGCACAGGGGACGTTGGCTGTGGTGGAGGCCGGGCGTGGCCGGAGGCTTCCACAAAGATGCAGTGGCTGCCTCCACAACAGTGTTCCTTGTTGGTTTTTGATTTTGTTGTTGTTGTTTAATGTGTTGTTGGATGCGGCAAGAAATGTGGTGTTGTTTTTATTAAATTATACACCACTGCCCGTCTTTGTTGTTGTTGGATGGACGGTGAGATCGTGAGAAATGTGTTATGGAATCTTGGTACAGGAATGTTGATGGATGTTTTCTCGGATTTGGGTGATTGGAAGTTGCTCGATGCATTGGCTCGAATCAAGCCGATGCATTGAGCCGGTTTTTTTGGCTCGTGAAAACATCTTAGGTGCCGGTTTGAAACCCCACAATCGGCACCTATATTTGTTATAGGTGTCGGTTCTAAACCGGCACCGATGACTTTGGTCATCGTACCGTCTGCGGGGTGCCTGTTGGGAAATTCGGTACCTATGGCTTGTTTCCAACCGGCACCAATCTGGGTTTCTGTAGTAGTGGTATTTTACAAGTTGACGTAGATGACACATAGGTCCAAGTTTGAGAATGTGTATACCATTCATTTTACTCTTTTGTAAAGTTTGATAATTGATACTCGTGCATATACTCGAGAAAGTAGTCGTTAGCCTATGTATTAATAGCCTTAATTAGGCTACTATTAGTGATATTTAAGATAATAATTTTCTCACTAGTGTCAGCTTATCGTTATGGAATAATGAATTTTCTACCGGCCAATTGACTAACGCGAATACCTAGCTAGCGTGTGGAAGGTATCATTCTATCCGTGGATGTAGTTTTTTTTTTTTATGTTGAGTTAAAATAGTTGTTTAGAGTAGAGTACTGAGAGCCAATATATTCAACCTGGGCATCAATCACTCTTCTAACTAATGCCCGCTACTAATTAATTAAACTTGTGATAAAAATAAAATAAGGATCAATGTGTGCTCGCAAGATGCTACTAGCATTTATTTGCGCGCCCGTCATAGTTTGAACCGGTGACATATGGTTCCAGTATATGATATTGATCGAATTGCTTGCGTAACAATTTCAACCCAAAGTCTTAATCAGATGTGAAATAGACGGCCAATTTATTTACGTGACTGAATAACAACAGAAGTCCGTGAAATATGAAATTGTTATTAAATTAACATGTGAAATAGACGGCCAATTTATTTAGCGTACATGTACAATTGATGAGGTTAGTGAAACACTCGTGATGTTTGTGTGTACTCTGTTTTTTTTGTTTTGCAACATTAGGATATTAAAGCCAGTAACAACCTGCTTACTATCGAGCTATTTGTACGAAATAAGACGTCTCAACAACTTGACAAACAGCATATTCCATTACGACGACGTAGAAATTTTGTATTCTAATGCCTAATTAACAATCGTAGTTATGAATCATGATAAATAAAGACTTCATCACATGTATAAATAACTCCAGTGTGCAGTCTGGGAAAACAACATCTGTATAAAATAGCATGTGAGCATGCGTGTACTCCATCCAATCTAATTAGCTAGGACCCCCTGTTTCCATCTTGTAAGCTACCTGTAGAAGCAGAGCAGGTATAGAAAAAAATATGGAGAAACACACTACGCAAGCAATAATTGAGTTTTGTTTGTAAGTTTCAATGTATGAGTTTGCATACAACCAAATCAACACATCGAAAGGTTAGAAAAAAATTTCATTGTACTCCCCGAACTATTTTGCTGGAACACACATGATTGCTTAAACATTGTACACCTCCAATTATTAAAAAGGGTTCACCTTACCGCCAGCATATTTCTCTTAATTTATTCTCTCTAAATAGTATTTTGCACCAAAATTTGGTAGGATAGATAGATGCATTACAACATACCTATTAATGTTTATTAGAATTTTTCAATCACTATTTACATAAGTCGAAAAGCACTATGACTGATTTAAATACTGAGGTTTATAATTTCGAGCAAATAGTCATAAAAAAATTTAAAATATCTTATAAATTTGATAATGGTTTCAGTAATATTCTTAAAAAAAATCAAGTTAAATACAAGCATACAAACAGAAACAAAGAATAAATGACTAAAGTGAACTATTTTAATACTTTACAGGTTAAAATGAGCAAGAGAATAGTTTGAAGGATTAAGCGATCCAATAAAATAGTTTGGGTGTGTAAAATAGACTTTTGTCCAACAGTTTCTAGAGACTTCTAAAATGTATTTGCATGGGCACTTTGGGCGACTGGATCTAACAAAAGGAAGATGTATTTCTATGGATGGGAATGTGCCGCCGGTCGAAACATAATTCGATTGCTCGTGGAAATCGTTGGCACATGCGACAGACTTGACTTAACACAAGAACCTTTCAAAATATTTTCTAGGCAGTTGACTTATGCTTCTCAGCTTCCAAAATATTTTTGGATGCAGTCACCCGAGATGATGAAAGTAGGGCTATTTTCACATGCAAACGGTGACACGGCACCTGGCGTACTGCATGGGTTCCTCATAAACCACCTGTATAGTTTTAATAGATTGTTTGAGAGAAGGGAAAACAAGAAGATTGATCAGAAGCTACGCAAAATGAGCTGAGACATTAGCTCATGATTAGTTGAGTATTAATTATTTCAAATGTAAAAGGTGGATAATATATATGATTTTTAAAACAACTTCCATATAGAAAATTTTTACAAACAACGTACCGTTTAGTAGTTCGGGAAGCTTGCGCGCTAAAAACGAGATAAATCTACTCCCAATCAACTGTGATCGAAAATCATTTTTTGTGGTGAATTTTCCACTCTACTTGCGATACCCTGAGGACATGGCGCATGCATGTACTTTAGTAATGAATGAGTCCTATGAAAACCATCATAATGCTTGTTTTGTACAAATGGGTCACATGGTAGAAAAACAGGAAGTTTATCCTGTCCATGTACACATTAACAGGCTACCCATAAAATTTGCGGCAAACATGAAGGACTTCACCTAAGTAGTCCAAATTAACTAGATGGACTCCCACTTGGTTTAGGTTTGCCTCTTTTGCAGTCAATTAAACTGCAGTTTTGTGAATGTTTGCTGCAAGTCAAATCAAATATTTTAATAAAAACACATTATGGGAGCTGCAGTCGTCCATGGTTGCTGCAAGTCAAGTATTATAAACAAAAACGCATTTCCATTCCTTTATCACTTCTCATTGAGGGGCTTCAATAATACCATCTGGGCACTCTAATTTCAGTCTAAAGTCATCATATGAACATCACAAATGACTGGGAGAAAGATCTGAAAAATACTCCACAAGGTGTGTCGGCTGTTGCAAAGTGCAATCTTCAAACAAAGAGATCTTGTCCTTATCCTAACACACTGACCATTTTAATTAAGAATGTTTCTCCGAGTCGAATATACTCCTTGTGGAGGCTATAAGGAAATCTTGTCCTTATCTTTTGACCTGTTATAGATGGGCTTTATAATAATGATATGTGTGTATTTTAATTAAATGTATTGTAATTTTTTCACTTCACTTTAATCTCCATAAAAAAACTAAACTAAAGATGCTTATATTTTGGACGGATGGGAACTGTTGCAGATATTAGTTTTTAAACATACTATATGCAGCAGATGTATATTCTGCTAAAGAAAACCACAACATCAAAGCCTCAAACAATGAGGATACTGACAAAATAATAAATCATTAAAATTACAACCATTGAATTATTCACCATGGAAATAATCAGCAAGAAAGTTGTGCATATAGAGAAGCATGCAACAAGAGATCTTCCTTCTTCCGGACAGTAACTCCAAAGTTTTCTGTCATGTCCAATTCACTGGGTAGAACTCCGTCGGGAAGACTCCAGTCAAAATAAAATAAAAGGTTTGCAAGAGCCAGCTCAATATTGGCGAGCCCAAACAACATACCAGGGCACATCCTTCTCCCAGCACCAAATGGAATGAATTCAAAGTCATTTCCTTTGAAATCTCTTGCATCATTCTCGAATCTCTCAGGTTTGAATGTTTCTGGATCATCCCAATATTTCGGATCTCTTGAGATCGACCACAGATTTAGTAGAAATTTTGTACCCTTTGGCACGTCATAGCCCATCACTTGACATTGCTCCTGGCACTCCCTCATGAAAAGTGGCCCCGGGGTATGTAACCGTACAGTCTCCTTAATAACAAACTGCAGGTAAGTGAGTTTATTTATATCATCATTACTTACCATCTTTTTCCACTTGAAAACCTCCCTAACTTCGTCTTGCGCCTTGGACATCACTGTTGGATTCCTCATTAGTTCTGTCATAGCCCACTGTAATACTGTTGTCACTGTCTCACTTCCCCCAGCCAAAATATCCTAAAATTGAATTTGGAAAAAAAACATTAGGTTAGAAAAATGAGGAGAAAACTCATGTAGTTTTGCTGTAGCTAATGGCAAAAATCTTACAAAAATTAAGAACTTGATTGTTTCCATGCTAACTGGGGACTCAAGAGAGCCTTCCTGCTGGATCCTTAGGAGTACATCTATCAAGTCTTCCTTATGATACATATCTTGTGCTCTCCTCTCCTGGTGTTCATCAATAATCCCACCTATGAATGCAAACATCCCCTCCCGATATATCTCTGCTTTGCGAGCAGTTCGGCTCAGAGTGTTTCCAAGCTGGAGAGATGGGCATAGGTTGGCTGTGCAGAAGCTTGCCGCAAGATGAACACCCTCATCTTGGTAGTACTGGAATTTGTCGCGAACCTCTTGATTCTCAAACCTAGTACCAGTGATGATGCGAATAGCTGCGTCGGTAGCATAGTCGGCAAGCTTCTTACTGAGGTTCACTAGATGTGCTTGATCACTTGATATGGACTTCACAAGGCGTGCAGCCTCCTCTTCCCGGATGGCGCAGAAGGACTGGACACGCTTGGCACACAAGAGCTCACGGATGCAGATCTTACGGAGCTGCCTCCATTGATCATCATAGGGCGCGAACACAAGCCCCTGTCCTCTCTTTGTAATGATCTTCATTATCTCGCTTTGCGGTCTCATCGCAAATATGCTGTCATGAGTCTTCATGATATCCTTGGCAGCCTCCGGGGAAGAAACAATAATGAATGGTACCTGTCCAAACTTGAGTAACATGACAGGCCCATACCGTCGTGATAGATCATGTAAGGAGCGGTGTGGGAGATCACCGATCAAATGGTGTATACTACCCATGATAGGGAGCTGCCATGGGCACGGTGGAAGCCGTCCGGCTTGCTTGCGGGAGCTGAACATAGCTTTGTAGAAATTAATCAGGAGTAGGAAAGGAAGAATGATGAGCAATGAGTAGTATATGAGATTTGCCATGAGCAAGGAAGGGATCGGAAATGCTGCATATATATGAAATCGGTAGTGAGTTCCGCACTTATTAATTGGGACTCCAACAAGTTGCTTCAAGTTGTTTATTTAATTATGTGTGCACATTAGTGACGTAGTGCAGAGAACAGAAAATTATGTTAAGTCGTTTCTGGGTTCTCATTGTCTGTTATAGTTTGGTGGTTGTAAAAAATGAGAACATCAATGGCAAGTACTTTTCATATTGACAGGTCTTAAAGAATGTTTTTTGTCCAGAAGACGGTGGTCGAGGGAAGGTAGAGGCCATTGCATTGGCGGAGCCTGTGGACGACAGCGAGGAGGGAAACATGGATGTACTCCGGCGGCAGGGACGGGAGGGGCCGACCTCGGCGGCGGCGGCGGATGGGGCCGAGGTCGGATCCGGCCGCAACGGTAGGGAAGAAGCCGGATCTGGCGGCGGCAGCAGAAGATGTCGGCGTGGGCAGCGGCTCCGGCGAGGATGCGGTGGCAGTACGCGCGGGGAGGAGCTCCGGCGACGGCGAGGATGCGGCGGCGCTACATGCAGGAGGAGAAGCGAAGTCCACGCGTGGAGGAGGAGGAGCGAAGTCTTCGCGTGTGGAGGAGGAGCGAAGTTTGCGTGTGGAATCGTGCGGTGGTAAATTCGTGCGCGCGGATGGACGGTAGGGATTAATCCGAGTGATTTGGCTAGTAGGATTGGAGGGGTACAACCCCTCCTTTTTATATTAGTATATGCGGTGGTGAATTCGTGCACGCGGATGGACGGTAGGGATTAATCCGAGTGATTTGGCTAGTAGGATTGGAGGGGTACAACTCCTTTTTTTTATATTAGTATAGATGTTCAAATCTCCTAACAGGTTTTGCAAAAGTTGTGCATGAGCTTCCACTAGCAGAGGGTATCGGAAAAACTGTGTTAAGTCAGCTGAAATGGCTGCTTATCTCTGAGTTATTCCTATTTTATGTCTGGTTATTGCTATTGGTTCTGACACGAGAATTTTGTAGAGATACGAGTCTTTTGTTTGATATATCTAGTGCTGACCTTTGGTGAAATCTATATTGTACAGATTGGGCTGATGTATGGAAGATATATTAAGCAAAAAATACCCCTATTTCTTACAAAATAAAATCTTCCACGTCAGTAGATTAGATGCTCATCATTGTACCTCTATATCAAAAAAAAAAAAAAATAAATGTCGAAACAAATAGGTGATGACGAGGTAGCAAGATATCTGAGCTTATTGTTCATGAGAGGATAAATGCATTTGACTAAACAATACAAGAAAAAAGTCAGATATGTTATCCCTTCATAATATTATTTCGTGTGCAATGTATCTGTTGGGGATATGTTAGCAGTCCATAGCTAGGAACATTTGAGATTCCTTCTCCAATATCTTTGTCTCGTGTGAGTGCGTCCTTTTCTAACGTAGACCAGCTAATATGTAGTGGCGGGCCCAGCTTTTTGAACTTGTGTATTCAAACTGGGAAGAGGTAAAAAAAATGTTCATACGCCTAAAAGCCTAAAAAATAGCTTGTGTAGTATAACACACTAATAATTATAATATATAGCGTATATAACATAAAATTAATCATAAGTTATGAAAATTAAACAAATATGATAATATGGTATAAACTATGAACTATTGTGCAGTGTCCACTAGACCACTACTCAGATACTTAACTAGGCAACTACAATTCTACAAACTAAGCAAGCAAGCAAGTATACTAAATCAATGAATTGTACTCCCTCCGTTTCACAATGTAAGTCATTCTAGCAGACTAGATTCATTAACATCAATATAAATGTGGAAAATGCTAGAATAACTTACATTGTGGAACGGAGAAAGTAGTTCCCACTCCTAAAATCTTCATTGCAAGTATGAAGATAAGAATGCAATTCACAGGTGACCGTGACAGTGATGCCAAGAGGTCTAAACCGAAGATTTATTATTTTAGCCAGTGTCAATCGGCCACTAATTTCCCCCTGACAATTTGTTTTCCTTCCCAGTCATAGATCCATTTCACCACACAACAGGTTTCCTCTGTTTAGCTCTACCGAGAGATCCTTATGTCCAATTGGCAATTGGCAAGAGAGAAAGGAAGAGAGGAGGTGGGAAAGCTGGGGAAGGAGGACGAAACGGAGCTCCTCGCGGTCATTGATGCTGAAGGAGTGGTCGGTGGACTAGCGCGCCCACCGGTCCTGCTCCTACCTCTGGTCGTGATCGGGGTCGGTGTCTGATCTCGGCGGCAGGTCGGCAACTGCACGCCGCAGCCGCCGACGCGCCGCCTCCAGCCGCCGACGCGCACGCCGCAGCTGCCGCCGACGTGCCGCCTCCTGCCGCACTGGCGCCAAGCCACGCCCGCGCCGACGAGCCGCGCCGCAGTCGCCACCGCCACACGCCGTGTGAAAGCCGCGAATCGCCGGCCACCGCCGCCCGCCTCCCCGCTCCAACCCCTCTCCCCCTCATTCCTCTAGGTCTAGGGTTGGCCGGTTTGGGGATTTGGGTTAGCCGGGGAGGAAAAATGGGCTGAGTTGCGGCCCAAACTGAGTACGGGCTGAGATGAAAGGGGGAGGGGAGTGGGAAATTTGGGCCTAATAGAGAATAAATGAATAAGTTCACCAGAGGTCCCTCAACTTAACAGCGAGATTTTTTAAGGTTACTTAACCACAAAACCAGAAATGTTTACCCCTAAACTCACTCAAACCGTTCACCAGACGTCTCTCAGCAGTATTTTTGCCCGGTTTTGCTGATGTGGCATCCTAGTCAGCAAAAATAAATTAAAAAAATACGTGGGACTCACATGTCAGCTGCACATCTTTTTTTTTTCTTCTCTTTTCATCTCCTTCTCTCCTCTTCTCTTTTCTTTTCTTTTCTCTCTCCTCTCCTCCTTCAGGCTGCGGGCGGAGCAGCCGCGCGCCGTAGCCGCCGTCGTCTTCGGCTCTCCACCGTCGTCGTTGCCGTGAGCGAGGCTACACGGCGCGGCCGTTCGGCGGCGGAGCGGAGGCAGCGGAGCGCGGCGGCGGAGCGGAGGCTGCGGGCGGAGCAGCCGCGCACCGTGGCCGCCCTCGTCGTCGGCTCTCCACCGTCGTCGTCGCCGTGGGCGAGGCGACGCGGCGCGGCCGTCCGGCGGCGGAGCGGAGGCAGCGGAGCGCGGCGGCGGAGCGGAGGCTGCGGGCGGAGCAGCCGCGCGCCGTGGCCGCCCTCGTCGTCGGCTCTCCACCGTCGTCGTCGCTGTGGGCGAGGCTACGCGGCGCGGCCGTCCGGCGGCGGAGCGGAGGCAGCGGAGCGCGGCGGCGGAGCGGAGGCTGCGGGCGGAGCAGCCGCTTGCCGTGGCCGCCGTCGTCATCGGCTCTCCCCCATCGTCGTCGCCGTGGGCGAGGCCTAGAGTATGCATTCATTCATGAATATATACATATATATTCGATCGATCGATCTTGTCACTTTCAACCCGTGTAGCCTGCAAATCAATCACAAGCTGCTTTTGCTTTGGTCTTTTTCTCTCTACTGCATGCATGCATGCGTTCACGGGCTTTTGGCCTTTCTTCTCTCGTGCGCGGAGGGACGCCATTGCCGCCGACAAGCTCGCGAGTGAAGCTCGGCCAGCTCTCTCTCCTCTCCGGCAAGAAGCCAAGAAGGGCGCCAATGCCGCCCTGCCCGACGACGACGATTACGAGCCCCCCACGCCGCCGCTCCCACCCGGGGACGGCGACGACGACGAGGAGCCTATCAACCTTGTCTTCAAGGGCGGAGATGAGGCCGGCGGGAGAAGGGGTGGCGCTCCGCATCAGCGAAGAGGTCGCCGTCGACCGCTTGCCGCTGCTCCGCCGCCACACTTGCGCCCCCCCTCCCCCCCGCTCGCCGACCAAGCCCCCCGCTCCATCGTAATCGCTCGCCGCCCTCCGCCCACCACTACTCCGCCTACCACGCTCGTGGAGGTCAACCAACACGACGACAACGCCGGTGGTGAAGAGCTGGAGCATGACGAGCGCCGCCGCTCCGCTGCCACTCTCGCCCGCTGCCCTGCCCGCCACTCCCGCCGTCCCAGCCGCCTCTCTCCCCCTCTCCCGCCACCGCTGGCGCGCTCGCTCCATGCCGCCCGACGCCGCGCCCGCCTCCTCTCCCCTCTCCCGCTTCTTCCCCGCACGCCGCTGTGCCCGCACCGCCGCCTGTCGCCACGCCCTCATCTGCCCGGCCGCCTCACTGAAGAAGAGAGCTGACTTGTGGGTCCCACGTACTTTTTAAATTTTTTTTGTTGACTAGGATGCCACGTCAGCAAAACTGGGCAAAAATACTGCCGAGGGACCTCCGGTAAACGGTTTGAGAGAGTTTAGGGGTACACATTTCTGGTTTTGTGGTTAAGGGACCTCAAAAAATCTCGTTGTTAAGTTGGGGATCTCTGGTGAACTTATTCCGAGAATAAATGGTGAAACAAGGCCCAAGATGAGTAGTTTAAAGCTTCTTTAATTTTTTGAATACATATATGAAGTATAGAGTACATATACGTATTTTTTGTCCAAAAATCTTGGGTATACATCTGAATATCCTTGAATCACTAGTGGGCCCACCCCTGCTAATATGTAGAATGAGATCTGTTTTATTCAAATAGCAATGTTTCATAGAAAATTGGTTTAACGATTTCGTAAGCTTTTGAAATAATTTATTTTTGGATGGTACGCTTTAAGCACAGTTTCTGCAATCCAGTCCTCAAGAAAAACTTTAGACTGTAACTAAAATTGAATCTCATCACAGCTTACTTTGGAAGGGATTTGTTTTTGAAGAACTTTGAAAACAAAACTTGAAAGAAATCTTTTAGTTTGTAATCTGTATAACGAAATTCCAGTAAAACTATTTGAGGTGGGTTTTGTTATAGTCTCTAAAGCTCACTTTTGAAAATAGTTCTCTTTTTACAAGCAGCAAAAAGATATAAACCCTTTTTTGGAGGGATATTCCGAAGAAACACCTGAATCATTTTTCACACTTTGGTTTTGGTAGGTTAATTTGGAATAGCATTTGAAATCATTTTCTCATGAGAAAGCACACGTTTCGCCGAACTCACAGAGTTAAGTTGGAGATAGCGACCGCCCGTCCGG